AAAATCTCAATACTCACATGTTGATGTGCATATGTGTTGCCCTGGTTACCAAATGACCTTGCAAAAGCATAGAGCGGATAGTTTTCTTGGCAGTTGCCATGATTAGCAGAGAGATGGGATCCATGTCACATACCTTCTTTATGTGCAGTGGATGGCCAAATCAGAGCTTACTTGGAAGTGGTTCTGTATTTGTTCTTGCGCACCAATGACAGCTTTCAAACCATCTTTAATCTCAACCACATCAACAGCTTAGGCGTGAAAGCACCCAAAGGGAGGAGAGACAGAGCCAAGTGCAATTAGTGGGAGCTTTAACACTGTTAACTGTTTGGTCAGGTTCAGACTAACCCTGGTACGTTGCTTTGATTCATTTGTGTTGGTGTGAACGCTTTCATTCAAACTTCGGTGTGGACTAAACCACTGCACCACTGCCACCTGAAAAGGTGGCTTCTGAGAGAACTGATGTTAATGGTGCAGCTAAGTAATAGCAGATACATGATTTCAGTATGAATTCAAAAGTTAAACTACTGTTACATTTAGTCGATCCACTGATTGTGGGAACAGTGAAGGAAGGAATCTCCTCCTGTCTCATGGGATTTTCCCTAATACATCAGGAAGTAAAAAGAAGTCCCTTTTCTAGCTGTTGTAGTCTAGACTAATACCCATAACCACTTATTTCTTCATCAGCCCGTTGGCATGCCAGAAAAACTAAACAAACACGTACAAGGTCTGTCAGTCACAAGAAGAGACATTTGTTTTACGGCTGGGTCCACAAAACTGTGAGGATGCAGTATTACAGTCACCAGAATCTTCATGGAATGAGTTTCAGTACAGGCCTTTTCATTTCAATTCATGTTTGAGAGGAGTTAATTAAATGTGCATTCTATAGCCTGGTGCCAAGATACCAACACCGGAATCACTATCAGAACCACCATTAGAAGCACCAGCAATTCCAGGACAACCCTCTGGAACAACAACAGCACCATCAGGACCGGGACAGCCATCAGGAGCAGGACAAGCAACCCCGGGACCTTTATCAGAGGAGTCCGTTAAACCTGGGCCCTGCCAGGAGTGTTACTGTGGTCCCAAAATGGATCCAATCACCAAGCTGAACATCGTTGCCTGCAAACCTATTGTCTGCAACAAAACCTGCCCCTCAGTAAGCTCATTCTCAGGACACAACAAACACTCTTACACAGACGCAGTGTCATTGGAACAGACCTTGACCTCAGAGATACATTCACACTCAGTGGCCACCAACAAGCTAATGCGTGTTGTAGTACTGGACTGTTCGTAACTGTGGAGAAATATCTCTCAGTATAATGCAGTCCAGTACAACAGCACTATAAACTACAACCTCATCAGAAACATGTACAGAACATGTAGTTGAATTAACGCTGTCTGACAGTGTCAACAAAAATGGAATTTCTAAGTTCCACTAAAATACTAGACAATAAAACAGCTGAAGAAAAAAAAGGAGCTAAACATGAACATACATGCATTATCTCATATTACCAAGCCAAAGGAGTTGTTTTTTTGTTTCGCCTTCCCCCTGACTCTCTCACACTGTCTCCAGGGTTACGGATATCAGACCGTATCTGGGAAGTGCTGTGGGACGTGCATTCAGAACAGCTGTATTTTCACCACACCTGACCAAACAACGCATGTTATTGAGGTAAGTGCTGCAGCTGGAGTTTCCTCCCATTTTAAAGCCAACAATATGAGAAATGGGATGTGGCTGTAGATCATTTTACCTAATAACAATTTGTGTGTAATTATTGTTAGTGAAAGTAAGACAAACTGAACATTTGATTTTATTTAATTCATTCAAGTTATTTCATTGCACTAAGGCTAGTCTTTTTTCAAAACATAAACATTTATATATTTAAAAAGGCTTAAAAATGTGATCAAATCAAATCAAATCCCAGAACCTATTAATGTCCCCTTTATCACATGTGGTGGTCGTAGTTCTCGGTAGACTTCCTCTCCTCCAGACATGTAGTGGCCTATAGGCAGAGTTGTTTCTATATGATTATCTCTGTGATGATCATCTGACTTTCCTGTTGGTTCAGGTCAATGGTACTTTTATACCCCATGACGACAACTGCGTGCAGTACACCTGTGACAACATTAATGGACAGTTTATTACCAAGGAGACCAAGACCACTTGTCCTTCTTTCAACCCCTTGAACTGTGAACCTGTGAGTATCTCTACAGCTGATACCGCTCCCCCTGTCTCATCCCGCACTGTCCATGTCTAACACGCAGCATGACTTGTCTTCCTCCTCCAGGGCACTGAGACAACAGACGCTAGTGGGTGCTGCAAAACCTGTAAGTAATTAGAGACGCAGTATTTGAATAACTTCTAAACCAAAAATACATTACAATAGAAATTTGACTTCTTAATATGGCATTGTTGGAGCCTAACATGATGGTGGTGCAGTCACCCGGGTTCAACTCCCTCACTGTGACACGTCCACCAATGTGTCCCTGAGCAAGACACTTAAACCCTAGCTTCTCCAAGTGTGTGACCTCTGACATAAATAGCAATTGTAAGTGGTTTTGAATAACAGGTAACACACAGATACATATAAATTATGTGTGTTCCAGGCACGCTGCGGAGCTTCTGTGAGGTTCAGAGTAAGCAGACAGTCATCGATGTGAGCGGCTGTAGGACCACGCAGCTGGTTAACATGACGTTCTGCGCTGGACGCTGTGGAAGCTCATCCATGTGAGTCTGTTTAGCCCGAAATTTGAAGTTCAACTAAGTTGGCAAAACCACTATCAGTGTAAATTGAGGTTGAGTTCTTCAGGTGGATTTTGGTTGTGAGCTTTCTCAGTTAGTGTGAAAGGAGGCTGTCAGCACATGCTGCCATCTGTAGGGCCTAATGACATAATTTTCCATGAACACTAGGCTTCCATAGTAGTGCTCACCCAATGTCCGACGCGTTTTACCCTGATATAAACATTGTGCAACACTTTGCTTAGATGAACCTGTTAGGAAGCCCCAGGGCTGTTCTTGTTGCTAACTCTAGCAACAAGAACTGTATGTGCACAAAACAAACAAAAAACAAAGCTAATGAAGATCTTAGAACTGGATTTTGACCAAAAAAGGACAGAGCCACAGGATTAGATAATAATGCAGACCACTTTATGCCCAACTGTTAAAGGAACTGTTGTAATCAGTGGAGATGATGAGCGGGTTTTTGTGTGTGTGTGTGTGTGTGTACAGGTACTCTGCAGCAGCTAACATGATGATGCACCAGTGTGAGTGTTGCCAAGAGGCCACCACCACTCCAATTCAGGTGGACCTGATCTGCGATGATGGTTCCAGGGTCCAGCACACCTACAGCAGAGTGGACACGTGCAGCTGCAGCAAAGCAGAGTGTGTGCCGGGGACAACTGCCAAAGCACAGCGCCGCAGGAGACGCTGAACGCTGGACTGAGCCTCAGAAACACTGCAGGGCTTAACTTAGACCTCCTTCTTCTTATCAGGTTTTGTTATTTATACCCCAGTGTGTGCTGTTTTTCAGTTTCACAACGTATTAGCATGATGTAAACTTTCTTTAACTGCAGATTTCTTGGATAATTATTAAAATGATATTTCTGCAATACGACACTTGCATCAACATTCTTATTGATCCTGTGGGAATCGGAGTACTGATACATCTGTACATTCTAAGCATACCGTGAGGTCAATTTGTCTCACCAACATTTTGATGTCAGTTGGACATTTTGGAGGATACAAATTAAGTTTAGCTAAAACAGGAAACAGGTGTCCAGGCGAGAGCTCGTGTTTAGTTGTTCCTAAAGCTACTAAAGAACTAAACATTTGTACTACCTGTTCTTGATTTCTGGCTTAAAATGTTGCAGTTTGTGCCAGGAAGTTTAATAATTTAACATTTTAAAAGCTGCAAATCAAATTCCAGGAGCAAACTGCCTGGACTTCCGGATGTGGTGCAGCAGTGATTTAAACACAACAGAATCATGTGACACATACATATACAATACAATGACTGACATCAGACAACACCTCTTAAATAAATCCTTTGGTAGACAGCACATCAACAACCAGACTTTGTAACCTACATATACTAATACTAACGTGTAAGCTCTGCTTGTGTTGTTAAAAGCTGATCATGAAGCATGGAGAAGTGTTTTTCCCCTCATGTACAAGTTTTCACCTGATGGTGGCGCTAGAGTAATGAAGGCCACCCCAAAAATTAGGCGTCAGCCTCTGGGAACCGGAGCACAAGTCTGGTCGCAGTCATCTTAGGCCGCTTTCTCTGAAGCACTGTGGTGGATGAAAGTTTTGGTTTTGAAGGCTTATCAAAAGTTATTCTAAAAAGTAAGTCAACAGGATATCACAGCTATGGAGGACTGATCCTGACAGATTAAGAAATAAATATAGAAATAAATAAGTGCTCAATTAATAAATAAGACACGTAGAGTCGACCTCTGCCGTTTCACTGATCCACCAATAGGGGAGAAGTTGACCCCTTGAGACACAGCCCCTCCTCATTTGCATAACGAGGCAGAAATGCATAGAGAAATGGAAAAAGGACAGGCAGAAATAAATACCATTGGGGAAATAAATAGGTTAGAAAATGCAAAGCAAGAATAAGACAGACAAAAATAATAAAACACACATAAATAAATACATTTAAAAAAGAAGTAAATAGTTGAAGATTATAACAGACAACAAATAAATAAGGAAATTATTACAAAGGTGAATAAGTAAAGAAGCTAATTAAAAGAGATATATACATTTATGTCTCATTGTATAATTTAATTACTGCCTCCATTTATTTATTGAATTAATTTTTTGTGCATTTAATCGGATGCTTATTTATTGAGCATTGATTTATTTCTGTATTTATTTCTTAATCTGTCAGGATCAGTCCTCCATACACACCCTTACATCACTTACTGAAAATGGGTTACATCACAACTTTGCAAAAACTACTTGTCGTCACTGTGAATAACTGCTTCAGTGGGGATACTTCCTCTGAACCTCAGTACCACCAACATTTTTTCACTTTTAATTCTCAACATATAATTCTATATCATCATACATCCATAATAATTGATCAGATTTTGAGTGCACTAAACATTTTACAGCTTCATTTGGAACAGAAGCAGTTCACTGCAGGTTACTACAGACAGGTTCTCCATACACTATTAACAACAGTAACATAAGCAGAAGATGGACTGAACAGTGGGATCACTGGGGGGAATACGGGCTGGGTTTCCCATGATGCCAGTGAAAGGTTGTGATGTTGAAACAATCAAGAAACGCCTTATGATTTGTGCTAGTAAGATTTACAATACCCATCAGGTAACACTACTGCCAATTGAATATTTAGTTTGAGTCTCTACTGTGATACAAACTTTAATGATCCTGTCATGACTTAAAGAACTCCCCAAACATATCTGCCATTGATATCATCTTACAACCAAAGGTGAACACAGTTGTTGCGATGCTTTGCGAAGGCTTCATGCACTTTGGCCAACAAGGAGTCAATAAAGGGAGCTGAGCTGGTGGGAGCTCAGATATGGCTGCAGTATGTGGGCAAGCTATCAACCACACTCTGGGTGTATGCAAAAGGGTGGGCGACCTCTCCATGAGTAAAGACTGTTTTTATCTGTGTGTGTGTGTGTGTGTGTGTATGCTGGCATGTCCACTGTACAATTGCGTTCTTCAGTTAGAGCTCCTCAGCCATCTGCAGCAGCGAGTTGATGGCTGCGTCCTTGTTGCCCTGCTGTGCATCCAGCACGGTGCGAACCACCTCCTTATCCAGGTTGGGGAACATGTCCTGCAGAGCCTTCAGGTCTTCCTCGCTGCACACTGGTCCCTGGCTCCCAACTGCTGGCATGGTTGCTGGCATTGGCATGGGCACCACGCCCTGGTTGTAGACTGCAGGCACCCCTATTAGTACAGGAATGACATAGGTGACAATGTGGCAGATGCATGGTTTGGAAATAAACATGAAAAACACATCAGTGTCCAGGTACTGTAGTATATTTGCAAGGCTCAGCTGTGATAAATGACAACAATAAATGATGAGATCATTATGACATCATCAGGGTTATTTTCTGAGACTTTGTCTAGAGCCACAGAAGATATTATACATTAACCTGTTTTCACAATATGTGTGTGTGTGTGTGTGTGTGTGTGTGTCTGACCTGAAATGGGCACATATCCGACTCCTTGCTGGTACACAGAGGGCATTAGAACAACAGGCTGTGTCATCATCCCTGCTGGTAAAGACTGGCACAAAGACAAAAAGATAAGATTAAGAGCTGTACTGCTGTTACTGAACGTGTTTGACCATATATCATCTAACTCCTGATAGTACCACATCCCAGCACCCTCTGCACTCCACAACCTGAAGTCTTTGGAGGTTACATCCACACCAGCAGAGCAGAGGGCAATAATAATAAAATAACAGTAGATGGGTGTACCAGGGCCCCACTGTTTTCTTTCAGTTCTGAGCTGATGACAACGCTGGACATCTTCAGATTGTGAAGGGACCAGGATGTGTCTTTCATCTGCTGCAGCAAGTTTCTTTGGCCGACCACTGTCTACGGTCCTCAGCATTGCCCAGCATTGTTTCTTTGAGCTTCTTCAAAAGAGCTTGGACAGCACATCTGGAAACCCCTGTCTGCATTAAAACGTCTGCCTGGGAGACACCTTGTTTTTTGCAGTATCACTACCTTGTGTCTTGTACAAGTGCTCAGTCTTGCCATGGTGTCTGACTTCTGTAAACCATCTTCAGCAGCCTCCTACACAGCTGTTTTCTGTCTCTTAATAATTGCGTTTCAGCCTACATATTCAATTGATGATCATTAGCATATATTTGTTTTAACTGTTTAATCATACACCTCATGATATGTCTACAAAATCCTTGACTTTGTGCAAGTGTACCTCGAAGAACTGATGCGTTTGTGAAGGTAAAGGGTGGCTGGTGACAGACATGTCTGATGATGAGGTGGACAAACAGTATGAGTGAGTGCAACAATGGATCTCATAGCTACAGATTTTTTTTAGGGATGCACAGAATTTTTGGCCACCGAAATTAATCAGCCCAAAATAGCAACAAAAGCACTTCCTGTGTTCGGCCTAATGAGTCAAAAGACCGAATAAATTTTACCCAACAATTACGTTGACATGTCGGCAGTGTGGAAGCGTTTTAAAGTGTCTGAGAAGACACATCCCAGCACATCCAGTCCATCCCAGCACATCCACTCCATCTGTGGATGACTTCTTAGAAAAGGCAACTAATGGTCTGACCCGCTGCGTTTCTGTCACTCGTCTGTGAGAAGACGATTTAGCTAGACGCAGCGTTGCAGTATGAAAGTCCAACCTGAAGAGGCTGTGAAGTCTTCATTTTACACCGTACGAGAACCACATACAACATTATTTATCAAAGTGGGTCGTACTTGATGAATTCAGCGCGACAACGTCCGGTTTTCAAAATAAGGTGTCTATACAGGATAGAAATAAGATTAATTGGATTATATTCACAGAAAGTAGAAAACATATTACATGTGTCCATTAAAAGTAAATGGACACATGTAATTTCCTTTACCGGACCCACCCACCGTTGTCTCTCCAAATCCTGTGGGAAACACTGAGGAAAAAGCAAACTTTGACTATTTAATTTATGCAGTGGTAAAAATTTTCTTTTTTTTTTTATTAAATTCAGCTTCGGCCAAGAATTTTCATTTCAATGCATCACTAGATTTTTATGAAAAAGTTCAGAATAATAGTTGTAAAACTGATGTTATCTATTCATAATTGTCTATTTAAGGTGAGGCTAAAGATGCATCCTAAAAACCTGATGCAGTTTTATGCAAGGTAAAAAATAATTGAAAAAAATTGCTTGTTAAATAGTCTCAGTTTACCTGCTATTGTCCTGGATGTTATGGAGTTGCTCATGAATGTTATGTCTGTGATGGCTATCCCAGAGTAGACTGTGCATCAATACTGACCACATTACCAGAGAACCTAGAACTTAGTCCGTTTGATGGTTTGTGTAAATTTACTCACAGCAAAAGACATCACCAGGTTGATCATGCCCTCCTTGTCGTCACCCTGCCTGCCACTGAGGCTGAACCACTCGTCAACCACACTACCCTCCCTCAGGCCTTCAGGGATGGTGACATGAGTCCATGCTATCCTGTCATCCATAGAGAACGCTCTCTGCACGGCACATCAGCAAAAACACATGGAAACAGACAAGAAATGACATGCTCATCTGATCACTAAATACACACATGCAAAAAGACAGTAACTGATTTTCCATGGGTCATTAGTTGCATTTTAGAGTTTGTTGTCTGGAACAGGAAATGTCTCCTACACCTGACTGCAGTATCCTCAGAAGCTGCTTATAGCATAGATGTAGTTCAGTTTAAACCCAGTAAACTTGCATCGGTACATGTGTACCGAGTACCTGGTCCATACTCTGAAAACTTATCTGAATTTGCAGAGTTTTTGTCAACTTTAGTCCTTAAAACGGACAAATTTATTTTTAATATTCATGTGGACGTTGAGAATGACAGCTTTAGTACTGCGTTTATCTCTCTGTTAGATTCCATTGGCTTCTCTCAGAGTGTTCATGAACCGACTCACTGTTTTAACCACACCCTCGACCTTGTTGTTGTATATGGTATTGAAAATGAACATTTAATAGTGTTCCCACAGAATCCCTCTTTATCTGACCACTATTTGATAACTTTTGAGTTTGTATTGCTGAACTACACGCCATTGGGCAAAAATTTCTATACAAGATGTCTGTCTGATAGCGGCCAAGTAACGGACAGCATGTCAAACAATTACATGAGCTACACTGATGGTTTAACTGACCTTTCAAAAAGCACTACTGTACATATTTAGCAGTTCAGATGATCCACAACCCTGTGTGCTCCTCACCTCATCAAAAATCTCCAGGTAGAAGGAGTCGACCCCAGGAGGCACCGTGCACTGGATCACCTTGTTCCAGCGCGGGTTCTTTGCTCCGTTGTGAGCAGTCGGTGTCTCGTAAACTGCATAGCCCAGTCGGATCCTACAATATGGATCCATCCGGGTCATACCGTAGTTTTTAGCCAGCTTGGCCTATACAGCAATACAAACAAGGTAGCTCTGTTAGGTTATAGAATCACGTTGGATGCAGTCAGTTCACCTGGCCCATGAATTGTGAAATGTACTCGGGGATGATGGTACACTGTATGATGACTTCAAATGTGCAATGAAGAGTCTATACATTAGTTAACATGGCCTGTACCATAGCCACTGAAAATTCTTGATTCTGACTGGCTGAAAGATGTTGATTAACTTCAGTAACCAGACAGTTTAACCAGCTCCTCTGATGTAGGTATTTGTCTGCCGTTTTAAAGGTTCAGTGTGTAATATTTCTTTGGATTTATTTACAGAAATGCAAGATCCATAACTATGGTTTCAGTAGTGTATACAGACCTTACCATAATGAACCCTTGTGTTTTTATTAACTTCGAATGAGCCATTTTTATCTACATAACCGCGGGTCCCCCTTACATGGACGTTGCCATTGTTGCACCACAACAGTGTCTCTGAGTAGTCATCTGGTGTATTAGAAGTAAAAACACAAGCGAAATTTGGACAAAAAAAGAGGACTACACGTATTATTTAGCACGAGCCGACAATGTGTGGATCTTCGTCGTCAAAGAAGCGAAAACATGATGAAGCCAGACGAGTCGGGACAGGTACAGACAAATGACGGCAGAAACAATGTATATAAACTATCATTATGGATTTTCCCAGATGGAAGGCTCTGATATGGGACAAAGCACTGCTGAAGTTGTCTGTTTTCTGCCAGACTGTCAATTAAGTTAGTCCACCTTAAGCGATAAAAATGCAAACTGTTGTTTGATAGCGTTAGCCAGAAGCTGGCTATGATTACAGATAGAAGTGACGTGTTTCCCTGTCAGTGTTGTTAAATATATAGTTGGATTGAAATTTCATTATCATTATTCTTCAGTGTGTGTTTTGGCCTTGCTATGTCGACAGAAATGTGCCCCTTAAGCTGGTGAGGCAATAAAACGGTAACTTACAGCATTGAAGCTCAGATCAACCAGTTTCACATTTTACTGCCCTGGTAGAACAAATCTGTAGTTGGATTGTAATGTCATGTAATGTTAGTTATTCTCCAGCACTTTGCCTGGACCTAAAAGTGTCAAATGTTGTCTTACATTCATGAGACAATCAGCTGATTAATTGGCATTAAAACAGTACAGCATGGAAAATCCTATCAGCCAGATAAACTTTTACTGCCCTGGTAGAAAAGATACCTGGACAGAAATGTGTTATGTTCCTCAGACAATCAGCTGATAAATTGGCAATAAAACAGTACAGCATGGAAGTTCAGATGGTTGGAAAGCACTTTACTGCTAACAGCGATACGATAACAAGACTGTGTGGAGAGGAGCCTTGATCCTCACCTGACAATGCCTTTATAAACTTCATGCATTATGTAGTTTATAATGGACTGTGGTGCAGAAACAGTGAGGCTTCCATTTTCCTGTTATCTGTCAGTGGTCATACTTGATGCATGATTACAGTACAGTAAAATAATGGATTACAAGAGTATGAGAGATCATGTATCACTTCATTTATTGATGTTGCAATGGGGTGAAAAATGGAGAAAGGCACTGCAGTGAATGTGGTCCGAGGGAAAGGCCAGACAGGTAGAGAGAGCAGGAGGTCCAGACAGTTGCAGGGGTATTGTTCAGAGAATCAAAGCAGTATCCCAGTTAGATAATCCAGGAAGGAGAAATCCACATATAAATAATAAATGCCGTTTGCAATGCACTATATAAATGCTTTGCTTTACTTCAGTGTAAATATTTAAAAAACTAAAAAGTTAGAGAAAAACCTATTAGTAAAAACAGAAAACACTTAACACTGACATGCTGCCATCTTAATGTTACTATTATGTACATGTCGGAGGTGGATATGATATACAGGTACACATACACATGCACATACAAGCATACATGTACACAGTGTGATGAGTGCAAATAATGCTGGAATAAATAAGTATTATGTGCAGTTGTTATGTACATGAGGTAGGTGGAGGTAGGAGGTACAATAGAAAACATTCAGATCGTCAGCCAGTCGTTGAGTACCAGCAGTGTTGGGGGATGTAGTTAATAGTGTCTGCAGGCCTCTCCACACTGACGCAGGGTCGCTTTTCAGCGTAGCTCCTCTTTGCTGTTTTGACTTCTTTAGTCAGTGCGTTCCTGGCCTGGTTATACGGGACTCTGTTCCCACTTCTGAAGGCCTCCTCTTCAAAGCTGCCTGAGTTTCGCTGAGAACCAGGGTTTTTGGTTGTTGTATGTGCGGAAGGTTTTGGTCGGCACACACGTCTTCACAAAAACTGATGTAAGATGTCACAGTGTCAGTTAGTTCGTCCAGGTCAGTGGCTGCAGCCTCAAAAACACTCCAGTCAGATCAGGCCTGTTAAGTCCAGCTTAGACTCGCTGGTCCGTCTCTAAGTGAGGTCTGCATGATTTGTAACTGTAACATCTATACATGGGGCCGTTGAGTGCTGATTGAGTTTTTTTGCAATTTGTTGCAATTCGCAACCTTCACCCCTAGATGTCACTGAAACTTACACACTTAACCTTTAAAAAGAAACGCTCCAGGATTAAACTCTACAATGGCGCTGGTGTTTCTTGTGTAACCACTACAACAAAAGAACATAAATACCTTTTCAATGAAAACCCAATCTCATTGCAAACGTATTTGATATTCGCAATATGGACGTCCAACTCAACTAACTGCAGGAGGAGGAAAGTGAGGACTTTTGACAGAACCTACAGAGGCACGGGAACAAGCTGAGAAATGGGTCTATTTCATTCCATTCATCCCTACTACATCAACTACTAAAAGGCAGGCTGGAGTAAAAAACAAACACACACAGTCATGTCATAACGTCTCATACACACACACACACACACACACGCAAACACATAATGAGTATTTAGTAGTAAATAGGGTATGCAGACAGGTATAAAACATCTTGAATGTTCTCCTCTTGTTACCCTGTAGTAGTTACACAGTAATATTAAGAGTGTAACCACTGTTACCCATACGTGCTGTCCGCCATGCTTACACTGTACACAAAAACAACAAGGCATGTGGTGTGGAATATAAAAGGGCTTTATTCTATTGTTTATATTAACTGTTTATAACTTTATTTCTTAATGACTAGTATTTATTCCTGTGCTTTATTTTGGGAATAGTTTCTTTGTAAATAACGCCTGATGAAGCAATAATTCTCGCTAAAACTGTAAAATGTATCATGCGGCTCCAAAATCGGGTCAGAAACGGACTGAAAATGTACAGTGTAAACCCAGCTTAACATCAATACTTCGACCACAACTTCGAACGTATCCGAGTGGACAGTCGCTCACCCGAGGCACACACCCAGCCAGCAAATCAGCCTTTTCCAGTTCTGGCAATAAAGCAAACTTTAACTGTTCACAGACTATTTTTCTCCAGTCCAACTGTACCAGAGTAAGTAATCAAGATTTCATTAAGAGTCATTGAAAGTTGCGTTTTGCTGATCTGCTCAGATTCAGGCAGTCAAATTCAAGCGAAGCTATTACCACTCGCATTCGCATTGCTTAGTTGTTAAAACGGGGTGGTGACGTATGACTTTAGTAATTCCATAAGTCATACGTCATTCTCCAAGCTTGCGCAGGCGCACTGTCATGCCTTGTTAAAGAAACTGTGGTAGCTGTCACGCCGTCACGGCTCGTCATTCACTTAGAACTTACAGTAGGTAATGTCTCCGTGTCTGATTGTTGGTTTGTCTAGTTTAGTTAGGTAAGTTAACTAAGTTGTAGGCAGCCAGGTATAGTTAGCTAGCAATAGTTATTGCAGAAGGTTAGCTAACAGAAGGTCTTCATTTTATTTTTAGTTTCCTCCTCTTGGTTTAGTGTGCTGTTCATTTTCTTTCTTTTTTCTTTTTTTTATATTATCTTTTATTGAAAAAGCATGTTGAATTTCACAATTGTTCGACATATGGAGTACATTAAGTTGCTTACCATTTTTAACTTTCTATTACATTAACATCAGAACTCAGGTGTGGGTGGGGGGGAAACCAAATTACTTCCATAATATCTATGTTATTCATTTTACCTTTCGAATCTGTGCACATTTAGTAAGAAGCAGCAGTGTTTACAAAAAAAATCAGATCTAACAGGCTTAACATATTCCGTCCACTTGGACCATATCCTATAGAAAGTGTCCCTCTGCACTTTGAGTGAAAAGGACAGTTTCTCCATTGTGTAGATCTCTTGCACAATGTTTATCCAGTCCTCAGTTGTTGGTTCTGGTTTGAGCCATCTCCTCGTTAGAGCCTTTTTACTTGCTCCCAATAGGATGTATAGAAGTTTCTTGTCCTTCCAGCCCAGTTTATCCGTTGATACGTTACTTAGGTATAGGGTTTCAAAGGTAAATGGAAAAACAAGTGCAAAAACATTCTGTATATGCTCATGAATTCTAGACCAATACTGAGAAATAACTTGGCAGTCCCAAAAAATGTGGAAATGGTTGGCACCAACCCCCCCACATCTCCAGCAAGTATCTCCAATGCCCCGATACCTTTTCTGAACAGGGGTGATAAAAAATCTCATTACACTTTTCCAACAAAATTCACGCCATACATTAGAACCAGTTGTAACCCATTGTATCTCGCATATGTGTTCCCAACATTCTTTTGTGATTTTCAGATTACCTTCTTTTTCCCATTTCGCCTTGACATAGTGTGTGCTGTCTTTTTTACACCGCAGGATGCTGTTGTATAACCTGGATATAATTTTGTTTTGTGCCCCTAATTTTGTAGTTAATGATATAAATGTTTCCACGAATCCTAGGTTGTTTAAATTCACTTTCAGGTCATGGTTAAAATAGTGTCTGACCTGAAGATACCTGAAGAAGTCAGCAGAGCCTAATCCATGTTTTCTTTGCAAGGATTCAAAAGATTGGAGTGCCCCCTTGTGGACAAATGAATAAAAATCTGTAAATCCTTTTAAAATCCAATTTTTAAATCTATCGTCATGCTGGTTCGG